GGGACTCCAGGATCATGACCCGAGCCGAAGGCAGTCGCTTAACCAACTGAGCCACCCAGGTGCCCTAAAAGCCCTAAGGTTTTTCTAAGGTATGACCCAGCTTGCGAACTTGTCTCCAGGTAGACTGCATGGAAGAAGGGCACTAGGACCAGTGCACTAACCCTATTCACACCTTTCAGGAGGCCAAGGCCAGAGGGGTACCAGGCACTTAATGCTATAAAAAAGCTATCGAAAGAGGAAACCATGTAAAGATTCCCATGATCAAAAGGAGGCATGACTTAGAACTCTTAATGTTTCTGTTTAATTTCTTCCATTCATGTCTCTTCTCTACTTCATGCTGTCTCTTATATAGGGCCCACAGTCATTTTTCTCAGAAGCCATGTCCTTAAAGGTTGTATGTGCTCCAGAAGTCTGACCTGGATTTAGGTCTGGATAACTGTCAGCAAGAACTGGTTTACTGTAAAACTCATTAATGACATCTATGTTCAAAATACTACAGTGTACAACTCTTAGCAACTGGCATTCTGCCTCATGTTCTCAATTCAAGTCATTTGGCTGCCTAAGAGAAAGGTTAATTAGTAGGGATTAATTATAATTGTCAGAAGTTATGCTTTCCTGTATTTTCACAGATAAAAGGAAATACGGTTAAGTCACAAGAAGCAGGAATTTGTAAGATACCAAAAACTCCCTAGTTACATTTTTTTCTAGAAGAACTTGATGGGTAATATCTTCAAGGAAGGCAAAGTTTCAAATTCGAAGAGATAAATCAGACACCCAAAACCTTGGGTTCTTTGAAGGGATACAGTCCTTTTGTTTTTGTTTTTAAACTTCTATTTAAGTAATCTCTACACCCAGCGTGGGGCTTGAACTCACAACCCCAAGATCAAGAGTTGCATGCTCTTCCAACTGACCCAGTCATCTCTGAAGGGATACAGTCCTAACTAGAGAGAATTACTTACCATTTTGCAGTTCAAGGTAGACTGCCAATAAGATGGCTTCAGGGGGCACCTCTTTAGGATGGATCATTGAAGCCGCCTTTGCTCAACAAAAAAGACACCCATGAAAAACCAACAGCTTAAGACACAAACTCCAGGTAATGCTGGGGGTGGGGGTGGGGGGAAGCCTACCAATGACAAGTTAGCAAACTCATTCCCACATGACCTCCTAGCAACTACTATCATTCTGTTCTGATGTCCCTCAGCTACCTTTGTCCTCATCCCTACTGATTAAACTAGACATGTAATTTTTCTTTAAATGATTCACTATTCATTTTCCCTTACCTAGTCCATAATGAGTTCTTAATAGGGGAAAGCTTTTCTTCCCTCTTGTTTTCACCTGCTTGGGGTTCTTCTTCCACATCTTGGCTCTATTTGGTTTTGAGAAGGGTGACCAGACACTCGGGATTCTGCACTCCAGTCACTGGTCCAGGTCTGTTGTTGGTGGCTCTTCACCACAGACATGGTTGCACTTATATTAAAATCTGCATGTCCATTTGTTTTCCTAAGTAACAACTCAGTATTGCAGGTCTCAAGTTCCCAAAGTTAGCAATAAGAATTCAAATTTAAAAAGTTGGTAATACAGAAAAAAAAATACCACTAAGCATGTTCAATGTCCCCATTTTAAAGACTGAAACAGTACAATTTTGTCAAATAAAATAATTTAATTGTTTAAGCAACATGCTATTCTTTCCTGGATCTGAGAGTCACTTCTCTAGCTAGCAATTTCTCTCTGACTTAGTTGTGAGAAAGGAAGCCTGGCCTGCTCTGGTCAATGGTGCTGAGATCATAGGTTTATTTCCTCAGTCTGGGCCTCTTTGGGCTGCAGCCTTTTCTCACACCTTACTATCAACTTGTATTCCCCCATCCAGTCTCAGGTACTCTGGCTTCCAGGCTGCCCTGCTTCTTCCCTTCATCTTATCAAAAAGTGTACTTGTATAAACATTTACTGATCAGAGGTGAGTGTGTGGGTAAGACAGGGACTCATCCTGACAATAAATGGGCATGCAAACAACTAACAATAATCCAAACAAATTGATCCAAATGCTAGGGAGAGAAGAGAATGAATGTACTGTGAATATGAAGAGAGAAAAATGTTTCTTTTGAATGGAGAGCTTCAGGGCAAGGGGCACCTGCCGTAGTCCTTGCAGGGTGGATATTGGGTAACAGAAAATGGGGAGAAAGGCCTTGTAGACCGAACTGTGCAGATGGGAGATGTGTGGGGGACCAGAAGCTTGCACAAGGTCAGTTCCCAGCAGCCTCAGAAGAGATCTTGGATGAGCAGGTATGCTCTCATCCAGGGCACACCCTTAAGTTCTTCACAAACGAAGCAGGAAGGCTTTTATTTCTCTCACCACATCATGGAGGTATAATGACTCTGTTCAGAAAATGAGATTTTACACTTCTAGGCCAAGCTTCATACAGGCAAGATCATCTTTACAGCATTTTGTGGGTACTAAAATCTCTATTTTGCCTTCAAGTGGCTGGTTAACACAGGTCATTTATTGTTCTTTGCATTGATCACAGTCTGCAGCTTTCTCTAAAATACAGGCATTCACAACAGCAACTTTATGAGACTTGATGGTGCTCTGCTTACTGGCTGTTCAGAATGGCTAGTGGCGGGCAGGCAACCTCGGAAACATCTCCGTGGAGCCCTTTCCAACTCTTCACGTCACTGTCCTGCCCTCCCAGGCACGGTGGGCCTCCCAATTAACAAAGATCCAGCCACTGGATTAACCTAAAAACCAAGGGACCAAAACAAAACCCCCTTCAGACCCTGAGCCAGGCCTGAGCCCATCTGTCTCTCCCAGCGTGGCAGCCGCCATGGCCACCTGCTGTACGAGAACCTGAGCTAGACCGTGCATACTGCAACTTTAGATCAAAAGTCCTGTTTGTTGGGGTGCCTGGGTGGTTCAGATGGTTGAGCGTCTGCCTACAGCTCAGGTCATGGTCCCAGGGTCCTGGGATTGAGCCCCGAATAGGGCTCCCTGCTTGGTGGGGAGCCTGCTTCTCCCTCTCCCTCTACTGTTCCCCCTACTTGCGCTCTCTCGTTCTGTCAAATAAATAAAATCTTTAAAAAAAAAAAAAAAAAGTCCTCTTTGCTGTAATCAACTCCTTCCCAATCAACTGGTGTAACTCAACTGCAAGATAATAGCAAACATGTTTCCTTGGATAGTCCGTCACTTAACATTTCTGATTTTGGATCAGAAGTGCCGACCAGATGCCACTTTAACTAAATATCACTCGTGGTTATTTTGCACATGGTAAGATTCTTCATGGCTCTATACGACAAAGTGGTCTTCACAGGAAGAACATTTCCAGAAGCCACCAAATCTCTTGAGAATAGGTGTAATTTCAATTTTAGCTACTCTGACAAGCATAGAGGGACATGGGCTCTCTCCTGTGCTCCTGGTGATTATACCATTTGACACAAACTTTCCATATTAGAAATCTTAAAATTCTGCACACCCTTTGACCTCGCAATTCCCTTTACAGGCAGGGTTGCATCACGCCTAACTATTTTTACTGTTTGATTCCCATGGCTTACCAAGAAGTAGTGCTCACATGCTTGCAATTTGAATTAGTATCTTTTTGAGGAATTACCCCTTTCTGAGTTTTTGACCCAGCCTCTGGAGCTGCCATTGGTGCTATCTGGTCACCTGGTCCCCTAGTGCAAGTAAGGGTCCATGTTCATGACTGCTCCAGGGATGGGCAGGAAACCTAAAGAGGCTCAATCAGAATCTTCCCAGAGACCTACTGATGATACATCATTTCAGTGGTAGAATTCAGAGGTGTATTTTAGTTATATGTTGCCAGTAATTTTCTTTAACATATGTGGAATTTCTTTGGCACCAGCTTTCTTCTGAAGTCTCCCGTTTTAGTGGTCCAGCCACACAGTACTTATCCTGCTGCCCCATAACCAGTGTTGGTGGTTTCTAGTATGTCCTTTCAGAGCTCTTGTATGCATATACACATCATAAAGCAACAGTTTTAAATCTTGGTCTTTTCACTTAGTATATCTTGGATATCTTATCATTTTAGTACACAGAGTTTACAGCGGCATTGTGTTCGGCTGTATGGATGCACCGTTATTTAAGTGATCCCTTATTTAGATAGTTTCCAATCTTCTGAAATTTTAATTATAAAAACCATTGGGAAAAATCCTCCATTAAGTGCCTAGGTTCATTTGTAATAGCTGATCAGTTGTTTACCTTGCAAGAATATTTCTAAGCTTGGAAAAGTAATATTCCAATTTTTAACAAATTGACCAGAGCCTCAAACAAAGTAACAAAACCCAGAAACTCCAAACCCTTTGCTGGCTGCCTTACAAGAGGGCTTAGCCCCACCACTTCCAGCCTCACCTGGTGGAGACACTTTCGGGCTTTGTCGTATTCGCTCCTCAGGCAGTAGGCGCTGCCAAGATTGAATAGCATCACGGTCCTGGCAGAGGTGACCGAACTGGGGTAGCACTGAGGGGCCCGCTTCCCAGCTGGGGAAAAAGAACGTGGACCCTGGTGAAGAGGCCGGGTCAAGGGCAAGGGGGCAACCCAATCCACCGCCCCAGCGGTTGCTCAGACTAAAGCACAAGGCTACTTCTTAGGTTGACAAATGGACACAAAAGGCTTGAGCCTACATCTTTTGGATGCAAAGCCAGGCTACTTTAAGTATTTACAAAACTTCTTACTCACAGGATTCCATTGCTTCATTTTCACCTTTGTCTGAGCCTACAAAAACATGAAAACAAACCTGAGGGGGAAGGACAACAGAGTATATTTTCTAGAAACCTAATTTTGTTTATGAAATGGAAAATCTAGTATCATAGCAATCTGTAATGTCACAGTGTTTACTTTTCATGTAGTGGAGGTTCTATTAGAGGACACCAGAAGGTACCACCCACCACCACCCCATTCCTGCATAATATCTTGAATAAAGTGAATGCCAGTCTTACTTTCTTAAAAACTTAGGGATGATTTAAAACTGACTTTTGAGGGGCGCCTGGGTGGCTCAGTCGTTAAGCGTCTGCCTTCAGCTCAGGTCATGATCCCGGGGTCCTGGGATCAAGCCCAGCACGGGGCTCCCTGCTCCGCGGGAAGCCTGCTTCTCCCTCTCCCACTCCCCCTGCTTGTGTTCCCTCTCTCGTTGTGTCTCTCTCTGTCAAAT